ACTTACGTAGAGATCTATCTCTCTCTCTCTCTCTCTCTCTCTCTCTCTCTCTCTCTCTCTCTTCCTCCTTCTTCTTTCGATTCTCGAACGAAGGAGAGGAGAATGTACGGGGAAAGGTTGTTAAACGAACGGGCCGTTTGTACAGTTAGAGAGTTGGAGTTCATTTGGGTGGTCATGATCGGCGGTTGGCCTGTTATTAGAAATTGGGAATAAGCACGACAACAACAAGTTTTCTCGCGTGACTGGAATCGAAGGTTTTTCGATTTATCGTTTCCCCCGGTCTGTCTAAAACGCCCGGCTAACGCGTGAGTCAAATTAATAATTCCCGATCGTGCGATCGAAACCAGCTGCGCGCGTCCTTCTCTAAATAAAAAGTTAGCTTCAGCTTCGTTCCGGGCGAAACGTGGCGTTCGTTATCCCGGTCACCGATCGTTCGTTCCTCGTAATTAGTCGCCCCGTGGCACGCATCCCACGTTTAATTATCCGCTTTTATGCGATCCTCTGTCGATTCGATTCCCCCTTCTTCCCCTCCCTCCCCCCCTTTCCTCCCCTCCCCTCCCCGATGTTACGAGCATCGAAACGATCGAAATTGGGGGAAAAAAGGGGGCGGCCCATCGTCGAGGGTATCGAAGTATCGAAGAGAACTATGGAGAAGTGTCGAGTCCGTTGAAAATTATGGAAAAAAAACTCGATTCCGGGAGGAGGAGGAGGAGGAGGAGGAGCAGAAGGAGGAGGAAGGGTATAGGTATTCGGGTATAGCGTATCGATTCGAGGCGCGCGTGTGACTAACGAATCGGTATCGGAAGAATTTCATTTAAATCGGGCTCGATTGAATTGAAATTTTTCCATCTCGCGGCTCGCCCGTATAAACGCGACCGCAACAATTCAAAATATGAAATACGGCATCGAAATCTCCGCTCTGGGGATCAATCTCCCTCCCTCCCTCCCTCTCCCTCTCCCTCTTTCTCTCGATATTCCCCCGTTGGCGGGGCGAGAGGGGGGACGAAAAATTTTTCATACGCCTCCTCTTCGAAGAAAGAGCGGAAAAAGGGGGGGGAGGGGGAGGGAAAAAAGAAGAAGAAGAGAGCGCGAGATGGAGCGCCGTCGTGGCGAAGCGAGATGTTTTTTCGAGAAGGGGAGGGGGAAGATCGAATGCATTCACGTCCTGAGACGTGATCACGACGAAGATCGCTCGGATGTCTCCGCGATGTCGCTCGATAAGTTTCGGAGCATCTCGGTTCCGCTCGGTGGAGCGAGCGGTGGTCGTGGAGGGTCGACCGGTCGGTGATTCGATTCAGTCCTCGTACGTCCGCGCAACAGTTCGGATATCCCATCGTGTAACAGGGATTCGGCCTTCCTAATTGGAGGAGTTTGTGTCGAGAGAGTTGAACGAGATAAACTGATACAAGTGCGCGGCGAGATAAGCCGCGCGACTCGGCGGCGGCGGCGGCCCCTGCCCACCCGCCTGTAATTGAACGAATTCAAAAGTGAAGAGAGAGAGAGAGAGAGAGAGAGCCTCGCGCGGACGGACGGATTGCCTCGTTGATTGCCGATTCCAAGGAGTTAGAGACGAGTTAGAGACATCCATCTCGGCGGACATCCAAGGTAACAACAAGGTATATTTTCCATCGACTCGACTTAATTGGAATCTTTGTCGATTCGCGCGATTCCTCGTCTTAATCGCGTCTCCAATCGATTCTCGATCGGAGCCCAAGTTCGTTTCGCTCGTTTTGAAAGCCAGAGATCCGACGAAAAAGCTGAGATGATAAGTTGGAGTATCTTAGAGTTTCGAGATTATTCGAAGTTGAAGAGGGTATATACGCTGATATTTCGCGAAAATCGCGAGAGAGGGTATATACGCTGCGACCGAGAGAGAGAGAAAAAGAGAAAAGAGAACGTGGCGTGTGAGACGCGCACACGCGCGCGCGCGCACACACAGAGACACACGCGCGCACACGCCCCTGGCGTGCTCCGGTTCCCATAAAGTTGCTCCCCACGTGGTGTTAAGCCTTCTCTATATCTCTCGTCCGACTGCTCGCGTCCGCTCGCCCGTCCATGTGTTACGACGATACGAGAGACCGCGATGACCTAACCAGACCGTCGTCGATTAAAATGCCACCGTACCGCCACTTAAACCGTTCTAAATTTCAACCATTAAACTCCCCGTATATCTCCCGTCTGTCGTTTCACGACCTATAACCCGGGATACGAAGAAGGGAAGGTACGAATTGCGTAATGATACGAGAGAAGCGCGTTTCTCCTTCCGATCGAACCGCGCTCTTTCTCTTGGGTTTGCTTGCTCGTCGGTGCGCAAAAAGAAAGAGGCTGCGTTCCTGCGATTAAAATCAATTTGACGGATTACCGGGTCGACGGTGCAATTATTAATCTCGTTACGGAGCCGCTTGCAAACGGCTCTGTTAACGGAACGTATGCGTACATCCCATTGCGTAACTCTTGATATTTTCGCCACGAAGTTAACTTTCCGTTGCCGTTCTCTTCATTTTCTGATGTTCGCCGTTATAATCTCGATACGTCTCGATCACACCACCACCAGTGCGAATAAGTCGAAACAGCGACTTATGGTAGGGGAGTGCCGTGCGTTTGTTCTCGCGGTAAGGAGGAAGCTTACAGAAGAAAGGAGGGGGGAAGAGAAAAAGGAAAAAAAAGGGTCTCTGCTCTCGAGTGGCATCCGATGAATAGGCTTGACCCGTTGGTCGCACCGAGTTATCCGAGGCTTACGTTCTTCTTTCGTGACGAATCGCGGACGAAAAGGAGAGCGGGGGACGCGCTCGACGTTTCTCTCTCTCTCTCTCTCGAAGATTGAACGAACATTGCACGCCGCGCGCGCGCGCGCGCGCGTGTCAACTCGCTCGGCACACGTACGCGCGTAGGGATGTGCGGTAGCCAGAACGAAAAAGAAGTCGCATTACTCTCGTGCGGTCTCGTTATATAGGGGCGTACTCATTAGTAAATGAGCCCTGGGCAATCGAGTGGCGGGGTCCCAGGTGTTATCTCTCCTCGACGAACCCCGGAACCCCAGCCACCTTCGCGTATGTATATAAATAGCGCAACGCTATAGGGTAACGGAGAGAGAAAGCCACCGGTTCGTTGTGTCCATGGCATAATGCCTTTTGTTAATTATTGCAGCAGCCACACTTAGGGGCTTAAAATTCGCCGTAAATAATCACCGAGACAATACCATCCACCCTCCCCAATACCGAGTCGAAGAGCCTCTCGCGCTTTTTCGTCGTATCGAACACCCACACCGACCTCGCAACCATCATCGCTATCACCATCGTGATCGTCGTCGTGGTCGTGGTCGTCGTCATCGTCCTCATCGTCGTCGTCGTCGATCCTTTCCTCGCTCATTTTCCAACCCCCACCGTTCGATCCCCCCTCGTCCCCGTTTTTCGACTCCCTTTCACAGCCTTTCCTTTCTCTCGTTTCGTTCTCGCTCCGTTTCCTGTTCGTCGTTTCCTGTCGATATCCTCCGGCAAAATCCGGCAAAAAAGAGAGAGGAGGAAAAAAAGAAGAAAGGGAGGGAAAAAGAGGGATACGCGCGCGCGATATTCGGGACGCGGCGATCTGGGGGTGGGTGGGGTGGGTGAGAAAGGAAGCGCGAAAAACGACGCCGCGAGAGACTACGGCAATTTAGCCGGCGATGTAGCCAGAGCCGGGAATTAATCGGTGGATCGAGGGTTGCTGCTCTCTCTCTCTCTCTCTCTCTCTCTTCTTCCTTCGAACTCGTCGTTACGATTTTCTTTTAAATCCACCGAAACTCGTGAAACGCTAATGATATCGCATCTACTTTCGTTTATTTTATTTCGATGCTCTCTCGTTCGAATCGAGTCGATGGACGAACGATGGACATTTCCATCGTTGGAGGAAACTCGCGGATAATAATTAAAACGGCAAACCGAAGATGAATTTTAGGTTAGAAATAATTCCATCCGAGAGATCTTTTTAATAATCTCGTAGAGAGAGAGAGAGAGAGAGAGAGAGATCCGCGAGAGATTTTAATTTTTTTCTAGGATATATATATATATATATCTCCGGTTTAAGAAGTCCCAAAGCATTTTTCCATCAACGTAATTTTCCTCGCCCCCTGTAATTCCCGTTTTTCCTCCCTGCTTTTAAATTATCCGCCTCCTTTAAGCGCGCCTCCTTCGCCGGCATCGCAAACGTAAAAGAGGAAAGAAAGAAAAAGAGACGGTGATATAATTGGAGAGAGCAACAACCTATTAACATTTTCGAACGAATTGAACGAAGATGGAACGAAGAGTCGCGGCTACGAGCGAAATGGCACGAGATCGGTACGAAATCAAGGGACAAAGAGAAAAATTGGAGAAAAATTGTGGAAAGGAATTTGTTTCCTCGATCGATTTCCACTTCCTCCTCCCCTTCCTCCTCCTTGCAGGAGCAAGAAGCTCCTCCGCCGTTAGAGTTTCAAGTGCGGATAAACCTCGGGTCAATTAGCGGAAACTATGGAAGGGAAAAAGGAGAGATGGTTGCGTTTCCATCGAAGATTGATCGTTCCTTCCCAAGTTTCCATTAACAACGTGCTGGAAGATTTTTCAGCGTCAGATTTTTCAATGGGGGGGGAGGGGGGGTATAAGAGGAAGGGAGGAAAAGGGCCAAACAGATCGGTATTACCCGGCAAGCTGGTTACACGCGTGCAAAAAGATGGATACTTACTCCGTACTGGGAACTCTTTACATCGGTCTACGGGCTTTTTATCCGGCGGTTGGACTCGATCGTAAAAAACGGGGGTGGGTGGTGGTCGATCGAGGCCGCCACCCATCCCACACCGATCCTCCGCGAACCGAAGAAAGGAGGAAACGATAGCGGCCGGGGTTGACGTTAAATTTATGACCGGCTGTAAGCGCGGCAACTCTCTCTCTCTCTCTCTCTTCCTCCTTCCCGATCTTTTTATCACTCCTTCCAAATCCTGCCAAGTGATTTTCATCGGCAGATCGCCCCGCGGGGGAGGCGAGAGACGAGAAAACGCGCGCGTGGAATTAATTGAAACGGAAAGCGTCGAATTACCCGCGCGCACAAGGAAGGGGGGGGGCGGGGCGGGGAGAGGAGGGAAGGGAAGGCGATCCGTTACAAAACCTTGGAGAAAAATCGAACTTTTTCGACAATTCCTCGGGGGCTGTTCCCCAACAACGCGCGCTCATTAGAACTGGCCGATAATTAAAACGGCCGAACGGAAAAGCCTACGTGCTACGTGTAGACAGTTGATCCATCAATACCAACCAGTCGGATCATCAAAAATGGGATTCTCTTTCTCCTCGAATGGAATTCTTTTTTTTTTCTCTCTCTCTTTCTTTCTTTCTTTGTCGAACAGCGGACGCTCGTCGAATAGGAAAATCGGGAGAGAGAGACGAGATTCGCGTTCTCGATTTCGTATCGGAACCCGTCGATTCGATCTGATGGTATTCGGATCGCGCTATTGAGAGCGATTTAGATTACATAAGGCCACGTAATGATCCTTATTAACGCGATATTAGTAACACGTATCTGGCGAGTTGCACGCGTCGCGATTAGCGCGGAGACCTGTTTCAGTCCCTGACTGTCAACCAACTTGTCTTTCTCTCTCTCTCTCTCTCTCTCTCTCTCACACACACACACGCGCACACAGTGTCTGTTCGTGTCTCGCGACAAAATGCCTTTTGTCGGCCGCTGTAGTGGCAAACATGCATTTAACTTGGCAAGCTTCGTTGCATGCGAAACCGACGGAGCGAGAGAGAGGTGGCGGAGGCGCGGCAGACGATGGAAGGGGGAGGGGGGACTGGATGGACGACAAGGGTCAGCTGATAGCGGACAATTATCTCTCAGTTTAACCCGAGCCATCCGAGGCTCTGGCCGCGATGTTGTAAAACATTATTGTACGCAGTCGGTCGATCGTCGGTCCTGGGAATAATACGGGATCCGTCCCCGTATATCCGTTCCTGGGAAACGGGTATCCTCGATCGAGGATCGGTGGTCCGGTGTTCCTTCTTTTTTCGGTTGCGGTCGAAAGAAAATGTCGAAAGTTCGTGCGTTCGTTTTGAAGAGAAATACTCTCTTCGTTTCCACACTTTCGGAATCCAATTGTCGAAATCTTCTTCTGGCTTTTCCGATTTTTCTCTTTTTACGCAAGGTGGGTGAGACGATAAGCGAGGACGATATATAAAGGATATAAAAGTGGAAGGACGATAATAAATTGGTTGGATTGTTTTTAATCGTGTTGGACGATTTATTTCCATCTTATTTTATCGGTGCAACTTTCGCGGTATTATGTCATCGGTTGGATTAGATTCCGCGACGTGGCACGGCGCGCCATTAACCTATCCCCTTGTTTTTCGCTGTAAACTGCAAGCTGTCAACGCGATAAGGACTGGCGATTTTCGTGGAAATAAAGATATCGCGTAACGTCGATAATCGAAATTGGTGCTCGATAACTTCTTTTGTTCGTTTCAAGGAATCGCACGTGTTTGGTGGATTCTTTCTCTTTCCCCCTCCCCTCCCCATTTCTTTCTTTCTTTCTTTCTTTCTTTCTTTTTTAATTTTTCAAGTAAAGCGGCGAATCGATTCGCAAACGTCGCATACGGATCTCGATTCCGAGTTCGAA